CCAAAAAAACAATTCAAAGGATCAATGAAACAAACAACTGTTTTTTCGAAAAGATAAACAAGATTGATGGACCCTTACCTTGACTCACCAAGAAACAAAGAGAGAGAACTCAAATACTACACAAAATCAGAAATGAAGGAGAAGTAACAACCGACACCACAGAATACAAAAGATAATTAACAGCTACTATGAACAACTATATGGCAATATATTTGACAATCTAAGTGAAAAGGACAAATTCTAGAAACACACAGTCTCCCAAAACTGGACCGGGAAGAGATAGAAAACTTGAACAGACCAATAACAACTAAGGAAATTGAAGAGGTACTCAAGACTCTCCCAGCAAACAAAAGTCCAGGCCCAAATGGCTTCACGGGGGAATTTTACCAAACATTCCAAAAACAACTAACACCCATTCTCCTCAAACTATTTCAAAAAATTCAAGAAGAAGGAAGACTTCCAAACTCGTTCTATGAGGCCAGCATAATTCTAATTCCAAAACCAGGAAAAGACACTACAAAGGAAGCAAACTACAGGCCAATATGCCTGATGAACATAGATGCCAAAATCCTTAACAAAATACTAGCAAATCGCATCCAGCAATACATCAAAAAAATTATTCACCATGACCAAGTGGGATTCATCCCAGGGATGCAAGGCTGGTACAATATTCGCAAATCAATAAATGTGATACACCACATAAACAAAATGAAGAATAAAAACCACATGATCATATCAATAGACGCTGAAAAATCATTAGACAAAATCCAGCATCCATTTCTGATAAAAATGCTCAGCAATATGGGAATAGAGGGATCATATCTCAACATAATAAAGGCCATATATGAAAGACCTACAGCCAACATCATACTCAATGGACAGAAACTAAAAACATTTCCATTAAGACTAGGAACAATATAGGGATATCCACTTTTGCCACTCTTATTTAACAGAGTACTAAAAGTCTTAGCCACAGCAATCAGACATGAGGAAAAAATAAAAGGGATCCAAATTGGAAAGGAGAAAGTGAAACTCATTATTTGCAGATGATATGATATTATTCGTAGAAAACCCTAAAGACTCCATCAAAAATCTATGAGACTTAAAAATGAATTTGGCAAAGTAGCAGAAATTAATGTCAAGAAATCGACAGCATTGGTATACACCATTGATGAACTCACAGAAAGAGAAACTGAAAAACAATCCCATTTACCATAGTGGCAAAAAATGTAATATACCTAGGAATAAACTTAACCAAAGAAGTAAAGGACCTATTTGCAGAAAACTACAGGACATTGAAAAAAGAAATACAGGAAGATATAAAAAAGTGGAAGCACATACCTTGTTCTTGAATTGAAAGAATTAACATCATTAAAATGTCCATACTACCCAAAGCAATCTTTAGATTCAATGCAATCCCCATCAAAATACCAATGACATATTTCACAGAACTAGAACAAATACTTCAAAAGTTCATATGGAACCAAAAAAGTCCCCGAATAGCCACTTTGTCCTTGAAAAAGAAGGACGAAGTAGGTGGGATCACAATACCAGATATCAGGTTATACTACAAAGCGACTGTAACTAAAACAGCCTGGTACTGGCACAAGAACAGGCATATAGACCAGTGGAACAGAACTGAGATCCCAGAAATGGACCCAAGATAATATGCTCAATTAATATTTGACAAAGGTGGCAAGAGCATACACTGGAGTAAAGAGAGCCTCTTTAATAAATGGTGTTGGGAAAATTGGACAGCTACATGCAAAAAAATGAAACTAGACCATCAACTCACACCATACACAAAAATAAACTCAAAATGGATAAAAGACTTAAATGTGACCCATGAATCCATAAAAATTCTAGAAGAAAATGTAGGCAACAAAATTTCGGACATGATACGCAGCAGAATGTTCACTAATACATCCCCTAAGGCAACAAAAACAAAGGAAAAAATAAACACATGGGACTAAATCAAACTAAAAAGCTTCTGCACAGCAAAAGATACAATCATCAAAATTGTGGGAAAGGAAATCCACTGTATGGGAGAACATCATTGCCAATGATATATCAGATAAGGGGTTAATTTCCAATATAAATAAAGTGCTCATACAACTGAACAAAAGGAAGACAAAGAACCCAATTGAAAAATGGGCAAAGGAGCTGAATAGACACCTCTCCAAACAGGACATACAAATGGCCAAGAGACATATGAAGAAATGCTCAACATCACTAATCATCAGAGAGATGCAAATTAAAACAACAATGAGGTATATCACCTCACACCTGCCAGAATGGCCGCCATCAACAAATCATCAAACAACAAGTGTTGGCGAGGGTGTGGAGAAAAGGGGACTCTAGTACAATGCTGGTAGAAATGCAGACTGGTGCAGCCACTATGGAAAACACTATGGTGTTACCTCAGAAAATTAAAAATTGAGTTTCCATTTGACCCAGTGATCCCACTTCTAACAATATACCCTAAGAAGCCTGAAACACCAATCAGGAAGAATATATGTGCTTCCATGTTCAGAGCAGCACTATTTACAATAGCTAAGATCTGGAAACAGCCCAAGTGTCCATCAGTAGACAAATGGTTAAAAAAGCAGTGGTACACATACACAATGGAGTACTATGCAGCTATAAGAAAGAAAGATCTCTCATCCTTTGAGACAACATGGAGGGACCTGGAAAGTATTATCCTAAGTGAAACAAGCCAAGCAGAAAGAGACAAATACCACATGATCTCACTTATATACGGAATATAATGAACATAACAGTCTGAGGAATTCGGTAGACCCAGAAACATGGAAGTAGGGTACAGACTGACATCCCTCACAAGAGGGGGTGGGGGAGTGGGAAGAGATAAGCCACAGAACTTATATGCATGTATGCATAACCAATAGACATGGACAACAAAGCTGGGGACGGGGCGTGGGCGATGGGGAATGGGGTGCCAATGGGGTTAAAAAGGAGAAACATCTGTAACAAAAAAAAATTAAAAATTAATAAAAAAATAATAATAAGGCATGATAAAAAAAAAAAAAAGAATGTTACAAGAGGAGAGGGAAAGGGGACTGGATGAAAGAAGGTGAAGGGATTAGCCACAGAACATATATGCACAGCCACAGACAACAGTGTGGTGATGGCCAAAGGCAGGGGGGTTGGGGGGAGAAGAGGGCATGGGGACATCTGTAATAGTGTAAACAATAAAAATAAAAATAAATTAAGTATACAAACAAACCCATATCTGAACAGCCGACTGACATTTTCTTCATCAAATGGCACTTGGACAACCAGATTTCCACATGTACAAGAATGAAGTTGGACCCCTACTTTACACCATATACAAAAATAATTAAAAATTGATCAACAACCTAAATATAAGGGCTAAAACCATAAACTCTTAGAAGAAAGTGTAGGGTAAATGTGCATTACTTTGGACTTGTCAGTGGATTCTTAGATATAGCACCAAAAGCACAGTAGGATAAATTGAATTTCATCAAAATTTTTTAAAATTTGTGCATTAGAGGACATTATCAAGAGAGTGAAAAGACAATTCACAGAGTGGTAGAAAATTTGCAAATCATATATCTCTCTGTTAAGGATTTAATATCTAAAATATATCAAGTGTCCGGCCAGTGTGGCTCAGAGATTGAGCATCGACCCATGCACCAAGAGGTCACCGGTTTGATTCCCAGCCAGGGCATATGCCCAGGTTGTGGGCCCGATCCCCAGTGGGTGGCATGCAGGAGCCAGCCAAACGATGTTCTTTCTCATTGATGGTTCTATCTCTATCTCCCTCTCTCTTCCTCTCTCTAAAATCAATAAAGAAAAAGCATTTTTTTAAAATAATAAAATAAAATATATCAAGCATTCATCAACAACAGGACTCAACAACAAAAGGCCAAATGACCCAATTAAAAAATAAACAAAGGACCTGAATAGACATTTCCCCAAAGAAGATATACAAATGGTCAATAAATATCAAAAGATACTTATCATTGGTAATTAAGGAATTGAGTCAAAACCACAGTGAGGTACCACTTTGCACCTCCTTGAATGGCTATAATCCATAAAACAAAATAACAAGGGTTGGGGAGGAAGTGGAGATGTTGTTGGTGAGGTATAAAATGGTGTAGCCTTGCCCAGCCAGTGTGGCTCAGTGGTTGAGTGTCGACCCATGCACCAAAAGGTCACCAGTTCAATTCCCGGTCAGGACATATGCCCAGGATGTGGGCCAAATCCCATGTGGGGCATGCAGGAGGCGACCAATCAATGTTCTCTCTCATGAATGTTTCTATCTCTCTCTCCTAAAATCAATAAAGGAAAACAAAAATTTTTTTAATGGGGTAGCCTTTATGGAAAAGAATTTGGCAGTTCTTCAACAATTTAACATAAGATTATACAACCCACCAATTCTACTTCTAGGTATATACTGAAAAAGAATTGAAATCAGGGCTCAAACAGATATTTGTACACTAATGTTCATTACAGCATTATTCATAATAGCCAAAAGGTGGAAACATTGCAAGTGCCCATCAAAAGGTAAGTTGATAAATAAAATGTGGTGTATACATACACCATATTATTCAGCCACAAAAATGAGTAAGTTCTGATAACATGCTACAATATGGATGAACCTTGAAAACATTGTGCTAAGTGAAGTAAGCCAGTCACAAATATATGATTGCACTTATATGAAATATCTAGAATAGGCAAATTAGAGACAGAAAGTAAATTAAATGTTTACCAGGGCTGGGAGGAGGCAATGGGGTGTTATTGCTTAATATTTACAGTATTTCTATTTGGGGTCATGAAAAATATTTGGAAACAGATAGTTGTGACAATTGCATGACAGTATGAATGTCATTAACACTACTGAATTGTACACTTAAAATAATTAAAATAACATAAAATGTTATAATAGTATATATGTTTTACCACAATAAATCTTTTTTTAAAATAGGAGTTTATAAAAACAAATAAAAGTATTTTACCTGTAGCATGATACGATTGAAAATAATATGATTAGAACGTATGCCAAATAGAACAAAGGGATCACTGTCTTAGAAGTTGCCTCAAATTCCAGTTGTCTAGAAAGTGATGTAAAGTAGACCACCTGCCACAAAAATGTACTCAGATAAATAACTTTTAACCAAAATATTTACGAGTGAGTTAAACGCTATTGAAACACTATAGCTTATTGATGGAAAAAACGTGTTCAAGTTCATTAAAAGATCAAAATACATGAATTATGATTTTAGAATAAATATAGATTTGCTTCTTCCCCAAAATTTCTGGCATGCTTTCCAAAGTTTCTTACAAAATTCAGTTTAAAATTTCTAAATATACCAAATCTAGATTTCATATAAAACTGAAATCATTAATAAAATAATTGTGATTTTTCTTAATTTTTATTAGGTTGTTATCTTTTACTATTTTAATGCATAAACATTTCAAAAAGGCCTGGTATTTGAAGGCTTTTTCACCAGAGTACTCAGAAATATTAGTTGGTTTGTTGGCCCAACAATTACTGAACAGTTAACACGTGCCTCACTTGAAAACATGCTGAGCTAGTTACAATAACAACATGGAATATTTGCTTAACGGTGTTCTTTTGTTTTGTTTTGTCTTATTCCAGTGAACTTCAAACAAATTATAGGGGGCTCCTGGAAACAGCAAAGATTTTAACTAGAAATAAGAATTCCCAAGTAATTTGGCTGGAAAACCAATCCCCAAAACTAAACCTAGAAGATCAATGTCTGTACTGAACAGACCTACCTTGAGGAGGTAGGATTTGTGTTTTCTACCAGAATATTAACAAGGATCCAAGATTTGTGGCATCCTTCAGTGTGTTGGTGTAAAAAAGTTGGATTATGCCAGGTTTGCGGGATCAATCCCCAGTGGGGGCGTAGGGAGGCACACAATTACTGTTTCTCTCTCACTTTGATATTTCTATCTCCCTCTCCCTTCCTCTCTAAAAAAAAATCAATAAAAACATATTTTAAAAAAAGAAAGTTGGATTAAATGCCAAATATAGTAGCACACAACCTGCTTCAATTCAAAAACTCCATGAAATACTCAGGGAGTGCTATTGCTATCTATGGCCTTTGGAACAAGTCTTCTCATCCCTCCCACTTTCTCCTGGCCTCCCTGTCAAACCCAGCTGCCACATACCTGGATCATCTTCAAGGCCAAACTCTCTTCCATATTGCTAAATTGGTTCAGGAAATGAACCAGCCACGTCTTGCTATGTGCATTGTCCTCTCCTTCTTTGGTCGTCAGGTAATATTGCAGCCGCATGGCTTTGGCCTCCACGAGTAACTGGTTTGGTCCTATCTGGTTGCCTAAGGTGGTTCCACCAAGGGTGCCGGCCAAGGGGATGGGCTTACCATTTTGGTTGTAAATAGGGAAGGTGATACTTCTCAGGTTAAGGTTCTTGTTCAGCTGCCAGGCAAACAGGAGTGGATTGGAGGGCACACAGAAGCCCTGATTCTTAGCACACACCTGACTGTAGAGGATCTGGGTTCCATCATCCTGTGTCACATTCAGAGCCTGCACCGCTTTGTCCAATTTGCTCACTTCTGATAAAATTTCTTGTTCCAGCAGGGAGTCAGTGTGGGAGACCACTAGAATGGAAGCTAAGTGGACCTCGGTGCTCTTCCTGAAGACGGAGAAGTGATTCGAGTCATCAGTGGTGAAATGTTCCTGCACAAAGCGTCGTTCAGCCTTGGCCAAGCTCCGGATTGGGGTGTACTGCTCCTCAAGGATTTCTTCTGCATCCGTGGAGATGTAAGTCAAGCCAGTGCCCAGAACAGCTGTCAGAAGTATGGGCACCAGCAGGAAGATCCAGGGGTGCGAGCCCACCTCCCAGCCCAGCCCTCGAAAGGCCCGGGAGAGTGGAGCCTCCAGGCAGTCAGTGTGGCAGCGGCGCCTGTGAGACACTTCAGTTGACTGTGAGGGAGGCAGAGGTGAATCACACTTCCCTGAACGTGACTCCTTCATTCCTGGGGTCTCTGCTCCCTGCCCTGAAGCCCATCTTTGCTCGGGCTCCTGCTCCAAAAGCTGCTGCGACCTCTGGGCCAGGAATGGTGCTGCCTTCACATCTGACCCTTCGCCCAGGTCTGGTCCAGGCCCCAGTGGCTTCGGCAGGGACTCTGGCTGTTGCTGCCCTGCAGATTTGGGCTCCACCTCTGGGCCAGCATCAGACGTATTGAGACTCATTTCCATGAAGGAAAGGCCAGGATCTCAAAAACACACCCAGCAGCTGCTGAGTGAACCCTTATCTCCACCTGAACCAACAGTTTCCCAACGGCTTCCCAACAGATTCCCAATGGTTGCCCAACGGTTTCCTGGAGATTCTAGCAGTCTGAGCATGCTCATGCCTGGAGATTCTAGCAGTCTGAGCATGCTCATGCCTGGAGATTCTAAGCAGTCTGAGCATGCTCATACCTGGAGATTCTAAGTAGTCAAGCATGCTTGTGCCTGAAGATTCTAAGCAGTCTGAGCATGCTCGTCCTGGATGCTGGAGCTTCCATTGGGGAGCACATGACTGGTTGACTCTCAGGAGTTTAGTTAACAGAAGAAATACTTTAGTCAGCCTCTGACAGCGCTGCTCCCAGGGGCTTCAAATTTTGGCTCCTCAGGGAGAGTGGGCTAAGGTTTTTGTTTTGTTTTTTTCTTTTTTATTGAATTTATTGGGGTGACATTGGTTAATAAGGTTAATTATATAAGTTTCAGGTGTACAATTCCATAATACATCATCTGTATATTGTACGGTGTTCACAACCCCACGTCAAGTCTCTTTCCGATACCATGCATCCCCCCTTTAGTCTCTTCTATCTCCCTCCTCTCCTCTTTCCCTCTGGTAATCACCATACTGTTGTCTGTGTATATGAGGGTTTTTGTTTTGTTTTGTTTTGTTTTGTGTTTAATCCCTTAAAAGCTAAAACAGAAGAGTAAAATGGTGAGTCATCATGTATATGTGCGTGTGCAAGCTTATACATAGAGGAATTAGGACTTTCCTTTTTTTTTAGCAGCTCACAGAAGTCTCCTTAGGGCTGCTTATATCACTTGATCATGCATTATTTGATCTGTGATTTTATCTTTACTTCCTAATCTGTTGAGGAAAACTTGTCATATTTTAGAACCTTCGCTTTCAGTTGTTCTCTTGCCACTTGGAAATTAAAATGAGGAAGGTCGAGAAGAGAAGAAAAGCTTTGAGAAATTGTGTGATAAGTAACATCTACTAATTCTTTTTTATCCTTATCCGAGGATATTTTTCCATTTATCTTTAGATAGAATGAGAAAGAGGGAGAAAGAGAGAAACATCGATGTGAGAGAGACACATCAATTGGTTGCCTCCTGCAGGACCCCGACAAGAGCCAGGAACCAACCATAACCGAGGTACATGCCTGTAACCGGAACCAAACCCGAGATTCTTTGGTCCTTGGGCCTATACTCTACCCGCTGAGCCAAACCAGCCAGGGCACATTTACTAATTTTTATCCTGTTGGGAGAATCCCATTCACTTAGAATACACCACTGTTTCAAAAACAGGTGGACACAGTGTTAGAAAATAATGGGAATGTTAAAAATTTGATTCTCATCGCAGATTGACACTTTCTGTGAGGTCGGAATCAGCATCCGAGGGCACAGATGCAGTTCACTCAGAACTGGCTTGAATCTGGGGGTGGCATCAGAGGTTTGCTGTAGAAAGAGCGGAGTCGGGACAGGAGAGGAAGCAGGAGCTGGGCTGGAGCGGACTCTGAGGATGGCAGTGGTGGAGCGAGGGCAGGCACAGTGGGCCTGGGGGTCTCCTGGATTGGGAGGCAGGATGAGTGGGAGAAAGGGCATTGCTGGGAGGAAGGTATTCAAATAAACTGAATTCTACCATAGCCAGCCCCTGGGAAGTGCTGACACAGACCAAAGTTCATTGGCTCAAGGATGTAAACCACTGTATACATTATATTAAATAAGAAACACATGGGAAAGGTCTCAGACACAACACATAAAGAAAATTCAGTTAGTATTATTTTTCCTTCCCTTCCTGCTCTTGATGATGCTACCAGTGGCACATATAACACACTGTGCTTGTTGGGCCAAAGCATCCTATGACAATGTTGTCTCAGCAGCATTTCCAGTGCCGTAAAAGTTGAACTCACTGTGTGAAATGGCTGAGTGAGAAAACAGCAGTCACAGGTCAGGAGAGAAACAAAACCAGAGCCTTAGCTGGAGTTGAGAAAGAAATAATCGGGGTTTCATTTCTCTTGGGGGAAGCAGGAGTATCTGAAGGCCCAGAGCTAATAATCCTAGGGGCCTGTCCCTGAGTGGTGACCATGACCATGGGAGGCCTAATAAGCCACTGAATTCCCAGGTTTTAGCATCACACCTAAGGCCTATGAGCTGCTCAAATACATCTGTTGAAAGAATGAATAATAGGCTCAAAAGTGGTCACTTTTCTCCTCCTCTTCCTTCTCCTCACCTCCTCCTTGTTGTCTACAATTCAGCATGGTGTTGCTGACAGAGCACAGGATCCCTGGGACAGAACCTGTGTTTGCTCTCAAACTCTCACTAGTTGGGTGGCCCTGGGCAGGAGCCTGCACTACATCACCGGCAAGCTTTGACCTAATACATCAATTCTTGGACCCATTAATTAGCACCCACAATTCCTCCTAACTACTCTCCCCTCAAAAACTGGACTAAATGAAATATATGGACTTTGAAAATCTTTGATTTTATCTTCTTTGCTGTTAAACTGTATATAAAACCTAGTCCATTGACTTAAAAGTGCATTGTTACAGTGACTTAAAAAAACTTGATTATTTTCCCTTTTCCTGTGGAATTCTTCCCCATCTCATCTACTCTTCTTGGGCTATTTTTATTTTTAATAAGGAATTCCCATTTTAATCAAAGATTTTCTGTCCAAATTTCCAATGTGTTTTTCCTTATGGTTTTATATCTGTAAGATCTCAGTTAATTATTTTGACCAAGGCTCAAAACTCCATCAACTCAGTCAAAAGCCATTTTATGTCTTTAGTGTTTAGATGAATTTTTCCAACTGAGTCAGTTGTCCAAAGCCATTGTGAAGAAGTATTGCTCACTGTAGAAATTAGAAATCACAAGTGCAAAGATTATGTGAATGATAATTAGCTTTTTTTATTAATTTATTTTTGTTACAGATGTTTCTCCTTTTATCCCCACTGACACCTTCCTCCCCCCCAATCCCCAGCTTTGTTGTCCATGTCCATCGGTTATGCATACATGTATATAAATTCCGTAGTTTATCTCTTCCCTTCCCCACCCACCCCCTCTTCTGAGGGTTGTCAGTCTGTACCCTACTTCCACATCTCTGGGTCTACCCTGTTCCTCATACTGTTATGTTCATTATATTCCACAAATAAGTGAGATCATTGGATATTTGTCTTTCTCTTTTTGGCCTGTTTTGCTTAGGATAATACTCTCCAGGTCCCTCCAGGTCATCTCAAAGGATAAGAGATCTTTCTTTCTTACAGTTGCATAGTATTCCATTGTGTATATGTACCACTGCTTTTTTATCCATTCGTCTACTGATGGACACTTGAGCTGTTTCCAGATCTTAGCTATTGTAAATAGTGCTGCTATGAACATGGGGGTACATATATTCTTCCTGATTGGTGTTTCAGACTTCTTAGGGTATATTCCTAGAAATGGGATCACTGGGTCAAATGGAAGTTCAATTTTTAATTTTTTGAGGTAACACCTTAGTGTTTTCCATAGTGGCTGCACCTGTCTGCATTCCTACCAGCAAGCAGTGTACTAGAGTCCCCTTTTCTCCACACCCTCACCTACACTTATTGTTTGATGATTTGTTGATGGCCCCATTTTGACAGGTGTGAGGTGATACCTCATTGTTGGTTGTTGTTTTTTTATCCTCACCTGAGGACATTTTTGCATTTTTTGTACAAATAGTGTGGGAGGGAGAGAGAGGAAGAGAGAGAGAGAGAAACATCGATGTGAAAGGGACACATCGAGTGGCTGCCACCCGCACAACCCAACCAGGGCCGGGGACAAACTGCAACCAAGGTACATGCCCTTAGCGGGAACCAAACCCGGGTCTCTTTGGACCGCGGGCCTACGCTCTAACAGCTGCGCCAAACTAGCCAGGGTTCATTGTTGATTTAATTTTCTTCTATGATGATTAGTGATGTTGAACATTTCTTCATATGTCTCTTGGCCATTTGTATGTCCTGTTTGGAGAGTTGTCTATTTAGCTCCTCTGCCATTTTTTAATTGGGTTCTTTGTCTTTCTTTTGTTGAGCTGTATGAACACTCTATATATTTTGGAAATTAACCCCTTATCCGATGTATCATTAGCAATTATGCTCTCCCATACAGTGGGTTCTCTTTCCATTTTGATGGTTGTTTCTTTTGCTGTGCAAAATATTTTTGAAGGCCTGTATAAAATGGCACATGTTCATGAAAAGTACTCTGTATTTTTTTCTTTTTTCTCTAGTTAGCACAAAAAACAAAAACAAAACAGGACTACAATCTTCCTCCTCTGAATGTAACGGCCCTATTGGACATATTTACGTGGGCCTCATTTCTATATGTTTCCGTACTTGTGCTGTAACCAGAGTTACATGAGCCCCACTGCCACTATGTGGCTTAAAACCCAAGGGAATTAGATTCTAACATTCTCCAGAAGCACAGTGGAGAACACTGTACTTCCCATTCCTCAACTCTAAAGTGCCCTGTCCTGGATTTGCAGGTGAAATTCCTGGGGGTGGGGGTGGGGGTGGGGGAGAAAGCCACAGGAAGGTCTGGAGCAACAGCAAGGAATGCAGTGGGGTATACATATATTTAGTAAACCACAGTGCAAGCCTCAAGGGAAAAAAAAAAGTGTAATCAAAAGACAACAGGGAGAGCTTGGGTAATCAAGAAAACTCCCCACCAAAAATACCTTCTGTAAAAAAGGAACTCTTACCTTTTGTGACAGCATGGATGGACCTGGAGATTATCATGCTAAGCTAAATAAGCAAGACAGAGAAACACAAATACCATATGATCTTACTTATATGTGGAATCTACAGAACAAATTAAACTGAGGAACAAAATGTAACCAGAGGCATGGATACATGGAACAGACTGAAGTCAGAGGGAAGAGGGTGGGGGGACTGGATGAAAGAAGGAGAAGAGATTGGCCAAAACTATATATGCATAGCCCAATGATACAGACAACAGTG